GGTGGGAGATTGGGAATTGGGAATTCCTGGCTGGGCTGGAATTGCCAGAGCAGCTGTGGCTGCCCCTGGATCCCTGGCAGTGCCCAAGGCCAGTTGGATATTGGGACACTCTGGGACACTGGGAGGTGTCCCTGGGGTCCTCCTGGAGCCTTCTCCAGGCTGAACAATCCCAGTTCTCCCAGCCTTTCCTCGGACATGTCCCATTTTCCAGAGCAGCAATAACAGTTAAAATCCCAGTGCTCTGCTCCTGTGTGTGCTACCCCCCTGTGTGTGGCAAAAACCAGGATTTGATCCCAAACAACATGGAAAAGTGGGAGAGAAGGGGCAGCAGCCATGGAATGAGGAGATTCCATGGGAGGTGGGAGCAGCTCCAGAGGCTCCAGCACTGAGCACCAGACAAACCAGGATTTCCCAGGTTCATTTCATTAAAGAGCTTCACACCCAACGGAACCATCACAACAATGCTTGGAGAGCACCAGAACAACACCCTGGGAACTGGAATTCCCACATGGCTGGGCTCTCATCCCGTGGAACTCAAAGGCCACTTTTGTAGACAAAACAAAAACCACGATATTACTGCTAAAAATATATATATATAAATATTTACAGGTAAAACCACAAATGTACAGGGATCAGTTCTTACCCTCAACCAAAGCACTCTGGCCAAGCCCCAGTACAAAATTCCCTGTGCAGTTTTTACATCCTGCTAAAAATCTGAGTTTTCCTTGGGTTTAAAATACAGTACACTACATAAGGCAAAAAAAAAGATAAAAAATAGGAATTATCATGCAGTTCTTTGTGTTTCAGGTCAATGGAAAGAATTGAAGGCAATATGGGATGTTTTCCATAGTTTCCTACAGTGAATGGGGTTTTATGGATGGGAAGTTCACTGAAGCAATATTATCTCCCAGAAACAGTATTTGTAACATGGACAAAAATTCCATCAGTTTCTGGAAGGGAAACATGCCTAGGAGGAGCTTGTAGGTTATTATCTTTGACAAAGCAGAAATTCTGAGCTGTATGGACACAAATAAATTCATTTAAACCATTGTAAAGTGCAATTAGAGAGAGAAGGAAGTGGATGAAAATGGGGAATTGTCACATCTCAGCTGCAGGTCGTGGTTTTGCAGCTCCCAGGCAGGCATTCCCAGGGGATCGCTGAGTTTTCCCTCAGCTTTACCCCAATGGTTGTGCCTGGTCTCCCTCTGCCCAGGCCCTGAAGGGACAGGACAGAAATGGGGATGGAGTGAATTTGAGGGACACCTGATCCCTCTCCAGGTAAGGAGCTCAGCAGTAACAGCAGGAAAACTCTTCAGGCATTTCTCCTGCAGAGTAAAAAACAGTTCCTGCTGCTCTCTCCAGTGAAATGTCACATCCACAGCACAGGATCAATCTGGGGCATCATTCACCTCCTCTGACCCCATTCCAGGGAAAGGATTCCCCATGGAAAGGGGTGGAACAGGGTGGTCTTTAAAGCCCCTTTCACCCCAAACCGTTGTGGGGTTTTTCATTCCCACTGCCTGGAGAAAGGGAATGAAACATTTTGCAATTTTCAGTGCTTTGACTTCCATAAATGGAAGATGATATAAATAATTACCATAATATGGAATTTTTTGTTCTGATTTATAGGGTTTTTTAATGATGTTTTTGTTGTTTGTAGATTTTTTTGTTGTGATCCATCCCTGGCAGTGCCCAAGGCCAGTTGGACACTGGGGCTGGGAGCACCTGGGACAGTGGGAGGTGTCCCTGCCATGGCAGGGGTGGCACTGGGTGGGTTGTAGGTCCCTTCCAACCCAAACCATCCTGGGATTCCATGATTCCTTCTCCTCCCCACACACAAAAACAGAAAAACAGCCAAAGAGCCCCTCCTGTCCTGGAATAATGAAATCAGGCTTTTACTGCTGTCACTGGAATGAATCCATGTGGGTCAAATTAACAATTCCAGCATTTTCAATGCAGTTTCTCTTACTGACATTTGAAGTCCTGCTCAGTTCCACCAAATCTGAAGGAGACCTGCAGGATTTTATGGTCTGTGCAATCGCCTAGGATAGCTGAATGATGTTTTATGGTGACAACACCCCCCTGGAATGGTGAAATCTCAGTGGCTGGAATGGAAGAACTGGAGCAGCCCTGGCTGCAACCAGCTCTGCATGAATTCAGGACAAACCCGGAGCACTCAGCCCTCCCCACTCAGCAAAATCATAAAGAAATGGCTTTTAAAGCAGCTATTTCAAATATTATTGCACCTTTCAAAATAACACCGTGTGGGTTTGGAAAACAAACACCAAACATGTTAAAATAAAGGGAAAAAAAAACTCAGGAGGCAAAAAAAATCCTTAGTACCAGGCCTGGCAATGGGCAGCCACCACAGAAATTTAAGGTAATTGAGATCAGAAGACAACCCAAAATGTGCTAAGTTAGTTAAATTCCACTTTAAATGATGGTTATAACACACAGCATCACTTTCTCTGTCCCAGTTTTCACTGGGCTCAGGGCTGTGTGATTAACCCAGTGGGACTGTGGTTAACCCCAGGACCTGCCCTCAGCAGGACACACGTTTGGGATGAGCCCTGTCTGCACTCCCTGCACTGGTGTGAAAGGCAGAACTGCCTGAAGAACCCGAGCTGGGATCTCCCCGTTTGTGAGAATGGGAACAATAACCATAAATCTGAAAAGCCCCACTAAATACCCAACGGGGAGCTCGTTCCACAGGGCTGAGACTGCAGAGCTGCAGGGGCACGGGGGATGGAGCAAAGAAGAAACCAAACCAGTGGAACAATCCAAACATGCTTTATGCACCGAAACCAGCAACAGCCTCGGGGGTACCCCTACATTTAGCACCATTGTGAGATGGGAACACTCAGAGGAAGCAATCATACAATCCTTGAAAAAAGGGGAACACGGACACACTCAGGAGGAAGGGGTGGGATGGGCTGGCTTGGAGGTTTGATTGGGAATCATGCTAGCAGTGCTGCTGCTGGGATTTCTCCTCGCATTCCAACTGAAAGCACACGGCAGGATGAAGTCAGTTCATCTAGCACTCGTTTCTCCAAGAGCAGAAAACAGAAGGGAAAAAGTTAAAAATGCAAATTCTCTTCGTCAGATCCAAAAATGTCCCGAGGAGGCAACAAATTTGCCTTGTAAATGTCTCCAAGGATCATCCCAGCCCTCCTACCAGGAAGCAGGTGACAAAGGAGAGTACAGGCAACATCCTATGGCATTTATTATGTACAAACCTTGAGATACAGAAACAAGGCAGCCCTTGAGTTACCGGTGATAAAAAACCCCGTGAAGCACCGGCGCTTTCCCGGGCACAGCCCCAGCCCTGGGGTCACCCCGCTGTGCCCACCCCACTGCGCCCACCCCGCTGCGCCCACCGCGCCTCCCCAGCACAGGGAGCCCCGCGTCCCGGAGGGAAAACAGACCAAAGCTCTGCAAAGGGATGGACGGGCACGTCTCCAGCTGGATCCCAGCTCTCTCGGGGGCGCCGAGGGCAGCCGGGCGCTGCCGAGGATGGCGGCGAGGAGCGGCTCAGCCCCGGCCACGCCGGGCGGGCAGCGGCCTCAGAGGGCCGTGAGGCCGAAGTTGCAGCGGCAGTACATCATCCCCGCCGAGTCCAGCCACGAGTCCGAGATGGGCTCGTACCTCTGCACCGTGTTCAGGTAGGAGGAGCCCGAGTGTCCCCCCACCACGTACAGGTGGTTGTCGATCACCGCCGCGCCCACGCCTGCGGAGGAAAGCACCGGCGTCAACCCCTTGGGAAGCAGCGCGGCGTTGTTCCCACAGCCCCACACCCCCGGGCTGAGCCCGCGCTCCTCACTGCCCAGAGAAAAGGGCTGTAAACGAGGAGCCCCCTCTGCTCGGCTCTGACACCCCTTTTGTGCTGCTCTCATCCCCTTCCCTGCAATGAAACGACCTCCCCCTGTCCCACTGCCCCATCAGGGAGGCTGTGGGACAGAACCATGGAATATCCCGAGCTGGAGGGACCCCAGGGATCATCCCAGCCCCACCCTCTCCATCCCTGGCAGCGCTGCCCAAAGGCTCCTGGAGCTCTGGCAGCCTCGGGGCTGTGCCCATGCCCTGGGCAGCCTGGGCAGTGCCAGCCCCTCTGGGGAAGAGCCTTTCCTGATTCCAGCCTCAGCCTCCCTGTCCCAGCCCCAGCTGCTCCCTGAACCCTGTCCCTGTCCCAGGGAGCAGAGATGGGAGCTGCACCACAGCCCTGCACCCCGAGTCTCCACACCCAACAGAGCAGGGAGCACAGAACTGCTGCAACTCATCACTGCTGAAAGCACTGAAAGAACAGGAGGCAGAGTAGAACTCCTACTTCCTGTAATTTCCTTACAGCTCAGCATTAATAAACCGAACTTGGAGAAATCAAGATCCTTTTACAGGGAGGTGAAGTGACCCTCACCCAGAGCTGCAGTCCCTGCCACTCTCCCTGCAGGCTTCACCAGCTCAGAGGCCCATCTCTGCCATGTCCCACCTGTCCTGGGCTCCTTCATGGGCCGGCACACCGTCCACTGGTTCTGGTGGGGGTCGTACCTCTCGATGCTGGACAGGTGGGACACCCCGTTGTGTCCCCCCACCACGAAGATGAAGCCCAGCATGACCCCCACCCCAAAGTTTATCCGTTTGTCAGCCATGGAGGCCACGGTCTCCCAGGAGTTCTTGCTCGGATCGTAGCGCTCCATGCTGCAAAGCAAACACAGCAGTGAGCCCGGGAGCTGGGATGGGATTCACTCCTGGAGTGGCACAG